TTTGTGTTGAGTGTAGGGTTGGGTCGGTATATGATTCTGACAATATGATACCAAGTTATTTATTAAAGAAATTCTATTTAGCTTTTTTTTAATATGGTTGTGGTAAAAAGCCAGCTTAATGGTGCCGAAGCAGGATGATTTTGATTAGATCACAAGTTAGAAATGCAACGAAAAAGTTTCATAAATATGAGAATTGAACCTTTTACTGATTCTTGTGAATATATATATATATATATATATAAATACTACTAATATTATTTTAATACTGTGCAATAATCGGCTTGGTTTTATTTAGGTAAAGTGTTTTATTAACTTTTAAACTTTTGATTTGGGGGGAGAGATACAGTATGATTAAAGTGTGGAAAAATGTGTCCATTCACTTAATGTTTAAAGATTTAAAGTTTTTATTATTATTTATATAATTTATTGTTTATAATATTTATATTCTTGCAGTTTGAGCGGTTTCAATTTTAGTTCATGTTTTAGTCATTTTTTATGTGTCTAATTTAATTTAATAAATTAAACTGTAACATAATTAAATTATTTATTGTCATTTTGAATATAAATAATGAAAGGAAATCTATTTAGCTTTATTTTAATATCTTCCTTTCTGATTATTTTTTTTAATTTTATTTTTTTTATTAGAATATGCAAAAAGGTAGATAAATTGGGATCATACAAATACAAAAAAAATCAACAAAAAACCATAACAAAACAACAATAAAAAAAACAAATAAAAAAAAAACAAATCCTTTCTGATTATTAAAACAAAGTTTTTTTATTACTTTTTTAAATTAAGACAAAGATTTTAAATATTAATGTTTAATTTGAGTAACAAATGTGTATGTTAAATTTTTGTAAACAATATATCTGTGCAATACAAAAATAATAACTCTGTTGTTGTTGTTGTTAATAATAATAATTATTATCATTATCAATAATTGTTTGTTTGTTTGTATTTGGGGTGAAATATGACTCAAATATAATTCCTCCTGTATTTTCCTTGTCTCATTATAAGCAGTTCCTTGCTTTTAAAAGTTCCCCATGGGGTTTTATGAGAAACACCTGGACAGGCTCATTCTGACAGAACTGACACAGCAGCTTTTTATCTGCATTTCACTTTATAAATCTTTTAATAAGGTGGCATGGTGGCTTAGTATTTAGCACTATCACCTCACAGCAAGAAGTTTGCTGATTCGAGTCCTGCCTATGCCAGTCGGCATTTCTGTGGGGAGTTTGCATGTCCTCCTCGTGCTGGCATGGGTTTCCCCCATAGTCCAAACAAGTGCTTTAAGTGAATTGGATGAACTGTAGTGTATGAGTGTGTGTATGGGTGTTTCCCGGTACTAGGTTGCAACTGGAAGGTCATCCGCTACATAATACATACATATGTTAAAATAGTCGGCGGTTCATGCCGCTGTGGCAACCCATGATAAATGAGGGACTAAGCTGAAGGAAAATTAATGAATGTGTGAATATAAAACCGACTTTACCTCAGTTAATCTGGACTATTTACTGCTCAAATAGTAAGCAGCCTAATGAGTCTTGATGTATTAGCATAAACAAAATGAAGTGAAATGATGCAGTTGTTTCTTTATATGAATACGGTGCAGTGTGTGAGCGGTTGAAATTACTGGTATTGCTTGTTTAGTGAAATTACTCTGCCAAGGAAGTTAAATTTCAAACAAGACAGAAAAATTCCTCCAGTGTGTCTTTATCTCACGCTCGAGTAAACGTACAGTTGGACGTGGCCTTGGGTTTTGCACCAACTGGCTCTGCGTTTCAGGAACGGAGCCACGAAACCGCTGTGTTTGGCCAAATGTGGTCTAAATGCAGAAGTGTCTGCAAATGATATCAATTTTTCATGCTGGATGAAATGGAGGTTCTGGCCCTTTCCTCAGACGGTCCATTGATGTAGTTTCGAAGATGTGAACAATGCTTTTAGATTTCTGCTCAATACAAGGAATTCCTGAAGTACAAACAAACATGATTTTTGACGTATTTTCCTGTGTGATTTCCCAAGATGAAGTTGGGCTAGAAGTATGTCTCAATCTGCTCTAGTGCTGCACAATATGGTTTCAGCATTGGTATTGCAATGAGAACTTTTTAATATTGACGATCATATATTGATGATTAAGGATTATACATTTATGAGTGATTTAAAGGTGCTGTGTGTCAGTTTTTTTACTCTTCTAAAGCATAAAAATACTACAATATGTTTGCAGATATTTAAGAAACATGCTGAACATTCTTGTTTATCTGAAAAACAATGCTGAAGTCAGATAATCTGCTTTGAAAATGTGAGTTACAGTATGTGCCGGAACGGCTGTCTTAGTTTTGGTTATTTAACCCGCCCAATGCTAGTTCAGCCAATTATATTTCAGCACCCCAGGTTGCCTTGATGGAAAACCGTGTATTTTCTGAGTGGTTCGGTTTAGTTTGGTAAGCTTTTATGGCCGTTTCCACTGTCAAAAGGTGTACCGTACCACTTTTTCGGCACCCTTTCGAAAGGGTACCAAACATGAGAAAGTGTATCAAAAGGCGGAGCTAGACGCGCAGCTGAACGCTATTGGTTTACAGAGATACTCCCTTCGCTTACGCAACAAGCCAGAATGAAAACAGAAGAGTCGCCATGTTTAAAAAGCACAGCCGAGAGATTACAGCGGAGTTATATATACATATAATAACCAGCCATGGTCGATCCGGGCTCGAACAAACCTTGTCGTTGTCTCGATGAACAGCCACAAAGCCATGAGTAGAGCAGATTTACCCTGTGCCCCATAGTTCTTTACGAGCCAGTCTGAAGTGCAAGCGGTTTCGCTTTCTTGCTTGCGCTCGATGTGCGTCTATATCTGAAATAACAAACTTCTTGAGCTGATGATAATAACATGCGCTTGATAATTGATGTGCTTTTGAAACCCGATCCTGTTAGACACTGACAAACGCGATAGTGAAGCACGAAAAAAAGGAGAAACCGGAAAACAGGAGCACATTATTTCTTCAGCAAACGTGAACAAACTGCCTTGTTTCATTTTTTATCATCACCTTTTGGACTATTATGAACTCAGAATGATGGAGTGACTCTCTGACAGAGGCTACATGTGCTGCTGAAGATTACAGACATACAGTAGATGAGAGGTTTTCACTGACTGTAGGCTATATTTTGTGTTGTAACCTAATTAAGCACTAAATGTCTGCTGTGTGTAGTTTTTCTGTAGTTGGTAACATATCAGAGACTGTAAGGGTCTGTATGTGTTCATATATGTTCATTTATTTAATATAATTACAGACGTTAAAGTAGGCTATTTCACACCGTCATTGATCTGCAGGTATAATCAATCATGTTTATAGAAAAGTTAGTAATAAACATTTATACACAAGTATTTATGTGTGTTAAGCGTCTGTTTTGTGGGAAGTGCTTCTCATATGATATGTGAGCGACCCGTACAGCTTTATTGTAGACATTTTCTCGAGCGAGAATGATGCGACTGACACTTTGTCATACACTACACCCACCAAAAGCCAAAGTACCATTGGTAGTGGAAACACAAGCCTGATAAAGGTGAATCGTACTGACCTGAACCGTACTGTACTGTACTGTACTGTACCAGTCAGTGGAAACGAGCCATAATTCATTCAGTCAGAAAGGATCTCAAAGTATGTATCCGTGACTGAAATGCAAGCTCTGGTGGACAGTAGCAGACTCTGAAATGAGACGCAGATTCAGAGTTCAGGATTCCGATCCACTTTTGTAGTGTTTTTATACATTGTTGTGAAGTTAAAGGCTTCATCTTCTGTCGTTAAATCAATGAGCAAATGTGGAGCACTTAACCGGCGTCGACTCTCTTCCCAGAGGATGTTGAGCTCACGCAGCATCCTGAACGTTCTATTACTGTTATATCGCACTTTGTAAAGAAACTGGTCTGGCGGCTAATGCGTTTTGTGGAAAAATACATTTTGTACTCTGCCTAAAATGTACATTCTTAAATGTTATTAATGGCAGCAATTCACATATAAATTAAGCTACATCTGAACAGTGATTTCCAAAAATAAAATCCAAATGTAAAAAATGGCGTTTTGCAAAACGCGATAAACGCCATTTTTTATTTATTTATTGTCATTCATTCATTTTCTTGTCGGCTTAGTCCCTTTATTAATCCGGGGTCGCCACAGTGGAATGAACCGCCAACTTATCCAGCAAGTTTTTACGCAGCGGATGCCCTTCCAGCCGCAACCCATCTCTGGGAAACATCCACACTCACATTCACACACACATACACTACGGACAATTTAGCCTACCCAATTCACCTGTACCACATGTCTTTGGACTGTGGGGGAAACCGGAGCACCCGGAGAAAACCCACGCGAAGGCAGGGAGAACAAGCAAACTCAAACACAGAAACTCCAACTGAGCCGAGGTTCGACCCAGCGACCGTCTTGCTGTGAGGCGACAGCACTACCTACTACGCCACTGCCTCGCCTATTATTATTATATATATATATTTTTAAACTCCTTTATTCTAGCTGGGAAAAAATAAGACTTTCTCCAGAAGAAAAATTATTATTGGAATTACTGTAAAAATAATTCTTTAGTCTGCTATCATGTCAGAAATATAAAAAAAAAATAAAAAATTTCACAGCAGGGGTAATAAGTTTGAGTGTCACTTCCATATTGTATTATTGAAGCTCAAAATCAACTTTCTGTCATGGAAAAAAGTGTCTTCATAAATGGATGGTTCCTCATGAGGAAATCAAGACACTTCCTCGTGTTCGCCGTCCACATGAGATGAAACATACTAGAGTCAGAATGAGTGTGTAGGGTGGAAATACTGTGATTAATCTGCCATTGAGTGTTTTCTTAGTGAAATCATTAGCTGCTTACACCCGTGTGTATGTGTGTCTGCATATATGTGTGTGTGTGTGAAAGAGGGAGGCTCATATTTCTTAGGCTCTTTCTTTTGTGTGGCTCGCTTGTCAGATGGTTTAGATGCTGTGAAAACATGGACGTCTTTACTCCATCTTTGTGTATTTTTCTTGTTTTAGAGTTCTGACGACATGCTATTAGATTTGTTTGTAACGTCTAGTGTTTCGTTTTTGACATAAACTTGAACTTTTACTATGAACCTAAATGGATGTGATCACAAAAGACGAGGATCAGGCATTTCATGTTCGTTCCAGGTAGGAGGAAAGGACTTGGGTTGCCATATGGTGCACTAAGCAAGTCTTAAGGAAACTATTTTACAGCCGTTTCTGATGTGCACCCATTCTGTGCTAACATTTTATTTCGGTTTTATTGAATATGAAATGTTTTAAGAAACAGGTCTTGTAAAAACTAAGATAACTTGTTAAATTGAGTCTATGTTTGTTTATAAGATTAATGTTGTTCAAATATTGTCGTGTATTTGAGCTTCCGAGTTACAGAAATGTCTTTATATAAATGTGATATTTATTTAATTGTTATTGTCATGTGTGTTACACTGTAAAAAGACTCTTGTTGACTTTTTTTCATTGAATTGAATTGAATTAACTTTTCTAGTCGTCTCAACTTAAATAATTAAAATAAGTAAAATAACCTTTAAAATATTTGTTGTCTTATTACGTTTTGTACAGGGTAAGAGTTCTATTCAGCTTTAGTTTTTATTATTTTACACTCACCGGCCACTTTATTAGGTACACCTTACTAATACCGATTAGACCGCTGTTTTCCTTCAGAACTGCCTTAATCCTTCATGGCATAGATTCAACAAGCTACTGGAAATATCCCTCAGAGATTTTGGTCCGCATTGACATGATAGCATCATGCAGTTGCTGCAGATTCGTTGGCTGCACATTCATGATGTAAATCTCTCGTTCAACCACATCCCCAAGGTGCTTTATTGGATTGAGTTCTGGTGACTGTGGAGGCCATTTGAGTACAGTGAACTCATTTTCATGTTCAAGAAACCATCCTGAGACTATTCACGCTTTATGGCATGGCGCATTATCCTGCTGGAAGTAGCCATCAGAAGATGAGTACACTGTGGTCATGAAGGAATGGACATGGTCAGCAACAATACTCAGGTAGGCTGTGGCACTGACATGATGATCAATTGGTATTTATGGGCCCAAAGTGTGCCAAGAAAAATTTCCCCACACCATTACACCTTCAACACCACCTGCCTGAACTGTTGATACAAGGCAGGATGGATTCATGCTTTCATTTTGACACCAAATTCTGAACCGACCATCCGACGAGACTCATCAGACCAGGCAACGTTTTTTCCAATCTTCTATTGTACAATTTTGGTGAGCCTGTGTGAATTGTAGCCTCAGTTTCCTGTTTTTAGCTGAAATGAGTGGCACCCGGTGTGGACTTCTGCTGCTGTACCCCATCCGCCTCAAAGTTGGACGTGTTGTGTGTTCAAAGATGCTCTTCTGCATACCTCTGTTGTAACAAGTGCTTATTTTCAATTCAATTCAATTCAGCTTTATTTGTATAGCGCTTTTACAATGTAGATTGTGTCAAAGCAGCTTCACATAAATGGTCATAGTAACTGGAACAGTGTGGTTCAGGTTTTAGTGTTTAAGTTCAGTTCAGTTTAGCTCAGTTCAGTGTGATTTAATCATTACTGAGAGTTCAAACACTGAAGAGCAAATTCATCGATGCGTAGCTCTACCAATCCTGAACCATGCGAGGCAGTGGCAACAGCGGAGAGGGAAAAAAAACTTCACCTGATGGGAGTGAAGAAAAAAAACCTTGAGGGAACCAGACTCAGTTGGGCACGACCATTTTAATTTCTCCGCTGGCCAAAAATCTTGTGCAGAGCTTCATTCGCCGTGGTTTAGGCTGGAAGATGGCCTCAGCGAAGACTCGTCTGTCCCTGGAGCGTCGCTGGAATCAGATTCATGTTCTCCACTCCCCACGACCATCAGCGCAGCAGCAGCAGCTCAGGATATGGCCTGGTCCCGGATATGGAATCCTTGGGATTTGAATTACTGTTGTCTTTCTATCAGCTGGAACCAGTCTGGCCATTCTCCTCTGGCAACAACAAGGCATTTGCGCCTACAGAACTGCCGCTCACTGAATATTCTCTCTTTTTCGGACCATTCTCTGTAAACCCTAGAGATGGTTGTGCGTGAAAATCCCAGTAGATCAACACTTTCTGAAATACTCAGACCAGCCCGTCTGGTACTAACAACCATGCCATGTTTAAAGTCTTTTAAATCACCATTCTTCCTCAATCTAATGCTTGGTTTGCAGCAGATCGTCTTGACCATGTCTACATGCCTAAATGCATTGAGTTGCTGCCATGTTATTGGCTGATTAGAAATTTGTGCTAACAAATGGGTGTACCTAATATAGTGGCCGGTGAGTGCATATGTTTTTTTTTATTTATTTATTTTATTTCAGACTAATTTCAATTGCTGAAAACCTTATTGTATTTGCTGTTTTTAGTTTTGTTTTGCCGTTTTGCATTGTGTTATGCGTCTCTATCTGCTTTATTTTTATCTCAGTTTTTAGTAGTTGGGGAATGTTTGAAGAAACCGGTTTCGCTGCAAAACCCAAAAGACCTCAAATATGCTGTTCAGCGCTAGATTTTGTCTTTCTTTAGCAGACGATCCAGTGACGCGCACTTGTTTTTTCCATCAGATAAGCGCGGTTTGAAATGTAACACAATGCTTCGGGTGGAGGCGAGTGAATGAGGGCTCGGGCTGTTGTGAGATCTCCTCTGTGTGAATTTTTAATATGCCTGTTTAAAAATTCAAATGGGGGGGTCATCGGTTGTTGGCACTGTTTTGTTCATGTGGTACATCTTGAACTTCTGCTGGATTGTCATATATTGAATATGAAACATGAGTGAGTCAAAGACACCCTTCCTCTCTCTGAATCATAACTGCAGGCCCTTTTTTCTTGGAAAAATATTTGTATACTAGTGTTATTCCTATTGAACTCTGTTATTTTTACCTTTAGATAATCCTGTAAAGATGAATACTTCAATTGTAGTTTATACTGTACAAAGTTATTTGTTTTAAGCCTGTCACAATAATCAATATATCGGCTTATGCAATGCATGGACATGACTTCAATCATTTTTGGTGATGCAATATACAGTGGGGGAAATAAGTAATCGACATTCTACAGCTTTATTTTCTTTCTCTGAAAGCATCTAAAGCATCTTCCTTGCCTGTGTTTTGGATCATTGTCTTTCTGAAATGTCATCACGGAACAAAATTGCAGCAGCTAAGTTATGTACAGAGTTATGTGCGCTAGTTGAAAGTTCCAAAAGTGTACACTGAGGCTAAAACCCACGCACACAGGATTAAGTATGGCTGAGGCTCTTAACTAAGGGCCATTCACATATCGCATCTTATGTGCGCGCAAGTTCGTTATTTTCAGTGGAAGTGTGCGGCACGCTTGTGCACGCTTTCCAGGCGCACATAGTTGAAAGAATGCTGTGAACACACTGTGACAAGAGCTGGAACAATCAGCTTCATACTTTATATTGAATATACACATTTCTACTCCAAACAGATGAAAAATACAAAACAATTTTGTAATATAGATCAAAAGTGCCTTTCAGACCGAGGTTCAGCAGCCTGTGACTAAATTTGTTCTCTTTTAAAGACAAATACTTGGCTAATATGTAGCTTAGATTTACATTAGACAAATACATTCTATTGATTTTGATTTGTTTATGCATTGTGCTGTCATTTATTTTCTGTGTAATCTTATTACTTGTGTTCAAATGGCAACTTTTCACTTGTGTTTAAGTGCAAAGAGAAATGGACTATAGTTTGTTTATTATTTTTGTGCTGTATTAATTGGTTACTAAGCAGCAATTAAACAACACTTTAAAATATGAGTTTTCATGCGATTTACTAGTAGTGTTTTGAAATTAAAAATGCATAATAATCGTGATAACCGTAATTGTTCCTCAGACTGTAACCGTGCTACCAAAATCTATAATTTTTGCATCCCTAATCTGTAATGTGCAACAAAACGTATACTATAAGTAGGCCCACACGGAATCTGCGCACGCAGAATTTCGCAGATTTCCGCAGATATTTAGCCCATCATTAATTCTGTTTATTTACTTGAGTAAATGTGTGTAAATCTATATTTATTCAGTTTTTAAATTAATTTCAGTAATATTATTGACATATGAAAATTTTCATCTGATTTCTGTACAATGCAGTTTGTAAACTAATATTTTCGTAGAGATATTATATGAGAGTCTTGCTTTGTTTACCAATTAAAGTGAATGTAATTGGATTTGCATTTTAAACATTAAATAAAAGTTAAAAATGTATTACTTTTTATTTCATATATTAAGGTTTTATTTCTGATACTCAAAAATACATTTTGCAGAAATCCGCAGATTTTTACCAAAATTCTCTGCAGAAATAGCAAAAAACGTCCGCAGATTCCGTCTGGCCCTAACTATAAGTAACGTCTTTCAGATTTGCAAAAATGTAGACTGCGCCCTCTAGTGGATTTGTCATCTGAAACATACTATGCAGTGTATGTTAGGTTTTGCAAAAATTAAAGCTGAAGAACAAATTTCCAATGAGCCTGGGTTGGTCATGCAATTTGCCAAGTGTAGATTTAGTTTCCATTCACCACTCCATTTAATTGGAAGGAAAATGGACATTGTGCTAATTACTTTCCTTTTGAGGTGCACAGAACTCAGCAAAAGACATGAGGGTGAAGAAATAGAGGCTCGTTTTTTTGTGACGTCAGGCTTTCATCAGTGAGGAGAAATAATGCGGAACATATGCCTGCAGTTCATGTGAGTTATGAGTGCATGTATGGTGTGAATTAGTCATTCACATTGATCAGTGGAGAAAGAGTGTCAGTCACTCGGCCTGCGTCCCACTTGACGGAGGATAAAGAAATCAGCAGATGTGAACGCTTTCAGTCGAGGACACTCTGGGCAAAGCACAGGATTTAACTCCGTCTAATGGATTTTCCCAGCGTGGCCCTGGTGATCTGACTGTTTCTGTGACTGGAGTCAATTCTTTACAACATCTCACTGTTTTAATGCAAGATTAGTTCATTCTGGCAGGTTTTCTTGGATTATTTTATGTCCTTAATGCAGCTCCAAAGGCTTCCTTTTTGATTTCTCTTTAGTATCAATAGAAACAGTCACTATGTTAGCATGTTTTGAGGACAAGTGTGCACTTTGTGCCTGTGCAGA